GGCTGAATAAGCAAGTCACGCAAATTCTGATAGAACTGGACCAACTGGACGTAGCTTTGGGATTTACATATTTACGACTTGAAATACATGGCGCCATCTATTGCCTTCTTTAAACTCTACGAGTTTACGACTTAAAAATTTTGAAATAAATGGTGCCATCTATTGGTTTCTTTAAATACTACTGTAACGCGACCATTGCGCCATCTACATCGATTCAGTTTATGTGAGAGAGAAAGTATCATACGAAGTTTTCATTAGTTGAACAAGGATAGATAGGAGTGCCAATTTATTAGCCGGAGGCCGGCCTCTGTATACTCTGTGGAATTAGGTAACCTTATGTTCTATAAACCTTGCTCTATTACATCCATGAACAAAACATAACCTACAAACACTCTATCTCTTTTCAATACAACCTAAATGACGTTCATCTCTTGCTCGCATTTGAGCGGGGAGCAGAGGACGCAAAGCTGATACGTACGTCATCAACGCGGGAATTTTAAAAGCGCAAATGGGTACATAAATTTTTAACAATGATTTTGTTCGAAATATTTTTAAAAAAATAACGGGAACTATATTTATATGTATACGAACTTTCAGAAAATATAATAAAAAAAAATCGTGTATGGCCCCATTATTAAAAACACAAATTAATATAAATTTTCTTTCTTCTTGGATTAAATCCGCGGAACCTTTCCACTCTTTTCTACCAAAACCAAATAGAAACTTTCACTCCTAAAAAAAAATCAAAAATGTGTTACAAATTAAGTTTATAAATACCATTATAAAAATCATATCTCCAAAAATAATTGAGATATCAAGATGATAAAGTGGCAAAACNCCGTTAAAGGGTTAAAAATGAGGGAACAATTTTGAAATCTATACCAAAAAATTGCACAAAAGTTAAATCTTTAGACCGATTTCAGGGATTTTTCCATAAATCGTTTATAATGATTTTCACTCAGGTCGTCGTGACAGACTCTGTCACAAATGGGAGTTAACTAGAAACAGAAAAATCCACAACGTTAATAGTTTTTGGCACAAAACGTGTTTGTGCAAGCGCGCGATCGTCGCGTGTTATACACCACTAGAAAGAGCAGGAAATTTTCGATAAGATAGATATGGTTCTAGAGTTTTCTCCTGCTCATATAAGAAAGTTATCGACCCGAACAGGGTTTAAGAATGGCTAAAACTTGTGAGTTTAGCAGTTTTTGGAAAAAAATGTACGTGTGCAAGCGCGTGATCGCCGCGTGTTATACTTCACTAGAAAGAGCAGGAAATTTCCCATAAGATAGATATGGTTCTAGAGTTTTCTCCTGCTCATATAAGAAAGTTGTTTAGAGGAAGAATACTTAAGCGTTTCTGCGTGTAGGGATGGACATTAAGGGTGATTTAAGCATGACGCCGATAGATATTGACCGACGAAAACCCGGATTAAGATAGCTGAAGGAGCGCCCTTTTTGACTGTGATAACAGTTTTTTAAAATTCGGTTTCGTAACAATTACACAAGACCTTGAAATTTGGTAATTTTGAGCTATTTTAAGTACAGCGCGGTGTTCTTCATTTTTTATTGATCTTAATATCAACTTATCGGCAGACGAAAACCCGATTTTAGATAGAGAAAGATTCAGGCTTTCAAGTGGTGCATTTAATTTTTCGCTATCCCTAATTATAAGGAAGATATCAGCTAAGAAAGTAAATAAGAAATTACGGGTAAAAGTTTGTTGTTGGGAGGTGTGTTGCTATCGTCGCACGGGTTAAATTGATAACGATTTGTAATAATTTCAAGTAAGTAAACTATTAATTAATTAAACTATTAAATTGATAACGATTTGTAATTTTCATGTAATTAAACTCTTGAAAAGAAAAATCTTGTTCAAACAGGCGCTTTAGTCTCCAAGCGGTTATCTAAACAATACTTCTAAAAATACATAATGTGGTTTTCCCACTTTATCATTATATAGGTACCCAAACAGAAATAACGTACTTTATTTTTTTCTAATTAATCGTCAATGTACATTAAATTAATAAATATATTCTTCTCAGAAAATATCTGTTTTAAGTATAATTAAGATAACAAAAGAAACATTATTAATATAATTTCATTACAAATTATTTAAGTCACGCCATACTCTTCTAGGTGGAAGGAGAAGTATAAACATATACAAAAAACCCCACCCACTATTTAAGCCTAAACCGTCTCAGCAAACCAACCCAGTTTAATTCCGAATTTTGAATTAATTCTACCAAAAAAATATAACAATGGGATTTATAAGTGAACAAAAATTAGAAAACGCAATGCGTAACCTTGGTTATAGACCAAAATCTCGCCACATTGAAGCAATAGTTAAAGAAACGAATAGCTCTTTCGACGACAAATACAACGCCGCAATGTTTTTGGCTCAATGTGCTCATGAAAGTACAGGTTATCATGATATCGAAGAAATAGCTTATAAAGGTGCTACTTGGAGTCCGTACGGAGATGGTGCACCAGGTAAAAGTTATCACGGAAGAGGTTTTATTCAGTTAACATGGGATTATAATTATAAAAGTTGTTCGCATGATATTGGTAGAGGCAACCAATTGTATAAACATCCAGAAATGGTTGCGTCCGATTCATCTTTAGGGGCCGAAGTTTCCGTTTGGTTTTGGCAAAAAAATGTGGAAACTTACCGAGGATTTAACTCAAGAAGAAATTTCGGAATTACCACCAAAGCTATAAACGGAGGTCATGAATGCCGTGGACGGAACGTTGATCAATCCAAAAATCGTTATAGATGTTATGTGGAAATTTGCGATCAAATGGGTATTACACCAGCTGATGAATGTGGTTGTTATAACTAAAATTTATATTAATTTGTGTTTTTAATAATTACTTGTAGGTTAGAATCACATTATTGTTAATGTCATTTATAAACGTCATTAAAATGTCAAAAAATTAATAACTTAAATATAACTAAAATGTTATCGATTAATCATTTAAACTGAAATATAAAATTAATTTTTTGAAAACGTTGAAATTATTTCTTAAATTTGTCTTTAAAAAAAATGTTTTGTGAAAGTTAATAATATAAATACTCGTGAAGTTAGCTTTAGTAACATAACCTCTTTTTTAACCTACAAATTAATGATGCAAAAAACACTTCAACTCTATATTTATTTCTACATTTTGATTACAATAAAAGCATGTTTAAATATAACCGTATCTTTAAATCAAAAGATTGAAAATCCCGGATTTCATAAGTTAGTAATAACACATTAATTAACTTTTATTTAATTTATCGTTTTAGAACAATTAATTGGTTACTAACTTTCGATAACGATATTAAAGAGTTAAAAACCGACTTTGCGTTTGCTTTGTATTTAAAAATACCCCCAGGAATTTATGTGAATCCCGATGAATTTGCCAGTTTGGTGCGGCAAAAAGAATTAAATGGGAGATTAATCGGAAAAGTGAACACTGAGTATGCAATGCATTTATCTGATAGTCATGAAGTAATGTTGTTTTTTGAAATGGATGGGAATGATGTGGTTTTGAGTTTACCCATACATTTGCGGTATCAAAAAGCAAGCTTTGTGGAGGAGTACAATTAATTTTTTTGTAATTTTATTAAAGGTGTTTTAAATTATTTTTTTTTAGATTTGGTGAAGTACTGCTTGAAAAACCAAGTTTATTTGCGAATTATTTAGGAACAAACACAAGTTGTGATCTAAACAAAAATAAAGGGGTTGAGTTACCTTGTAGTGATTCAAATGGGGATTGTAAATGGGTTAGCATAACTTACAAAGGAGTACATATTAATGTTTATTGATGTTTCTAATGGTTTACTTATATATATTCTTTTTAGGTTTTTGATGAAAGTATCTTATTAGTTCCAATTGGAAATTTAAATCATTATCCGATTGTTGCAATAAGTACCATATTGTTGGGTTGTTTAGGTTGCTTATATATTTTATCAATGCTTATGAGTACGAAATTAAAAAGGGAATAAATTAATTTACAATTAAATATTTATTTTTATTTATTGTAATAATTTTAACATTCTATTAGTTCACCGAGAAAACATAACCTAGAATTTGTGACAGAGAGATTTTTTGTTGGTGAAAATCTGAACTTAAACCGTTTTGTTTACTTTCAAATGTATCAATTATTGTAGTTCAGCTCCTAAAGCACATTTTTCATCCATTGTTTGAGGTTTTAACGTTATTTTGAGGAAGAAATCCTTGATTTAAATTTGAATTTTTCCAACTTTATTCATTGTTGAAATTTGGCGTGTACTCCAATGTATGTCTAAAAACAAGAAAAGACAACGTTGAATACGAAGTTTTATTACGTTTCATAAAGGGATAAGGGAGAAATCAACGAAAAAAGAATTAAATTTTGAAGGTTAATTCCGAGAAAAATCAAGAGATGACGCTAGTTTCGAAGCAAGAATTTTGAATTTTGAAAAGGGCGCGAAGCTAAGAGCCAATCAGAAACGAGGAAAAAACAGTTGGAGTGCCGGGGTATATAAGGAGATCGCGAACAGGGAGTGAGAGAGTCGTCGTCGGACCAGCGTCGAATCCACGTCGTCAGATAGAAGAATTTTTGAAGAGATAACCTCAAAAATTTAAGATAATTTTTTAAAAAAAAGTCAAATCAACTTACAATATTAAAATAAAAAGAGAATCATCCTACAACCTATTCCAAGAACTACCGATACTTCTTCGAGATCATCCAAGACCCTATTTCCGAAGAACAAACAGTTCAATTTCCCGTAAGAAGAATCCTGTAGACAATCCAGAAAATTAGTTAGTGCCCCGAACACAAGAGACAATCCATAATCCAGATACCACATTGAACTCCAATCCTTTCTTTTTCACAGTGAGTCGGATGATAATTTTATTTTATTATTTAACATAACCTACAAAAAGAAAAATCAAAGAATCAAACTCAAAGAACAACTCACAAGAGTTTCCTATAATTTTGATCAATACTTACTTGTGGGTAAAGATTTATTAGTTTTCTTGAATAACGTTCATTTATTTAATTCTATTTTTTTTTAACGAGTTTGATGACAACTTAAGACATCGGCCATTTGTTATTTTCAAAGAACGGTTCTAACGAGTTTTATCCTACTCTCTCTCTCTCAAATAATAAACGGGTTCTCTCTAATATCGATATTTCAGTCGATAACCGCAGTTATCTATTTTATTTAAAAGTTATCTCTCGTAAATAAGCATTGTTATTAAAGTAAATTTAGGAAAACAATTTTTTTTTGTTACTCATAAAACGAGTTAATTTGATTTTGTGTTAATTAAATGAATTTTTTGTCGAACCTGATTAATATTCTTTTGAACCTGAACTTGCCCGGAACCCTGAGTTTTTAATAAGAGTCTCTTAAAATTAAAGAAACCCAAATTTATAGATTAATAACTTGTGTATAAAACATCACACAAGCAAAACAACACATTATATTAAAATTATAATTAACACTAACTGAAATGACCTCCAATTGACATTGGTTTTGAACTGGAATAGAAAGTAAAGATTAGGTTTGAAAACAATGGTATGGATTGGACTTTGAGGTGCTGGAAGAGTTTTTTAATCAAACAGCATTTTGTTGAACTCATAATGACCGTATTGAAATAAAAAGATGGGGTATCTCTTGAGTCTGGATCAGATCATTTACCTAATCACCTACATTGCAGCTTGAAACTATTATGGGCAAGGAAGCCAAAATATACGCAGAAAAAATGTACAAATACAGAATTAATCTAGAGAAGCGACGTAACGAATAAGAATTAATTAAATGCATATTCAAAAAATTGTAATAAATCGTAATTTTGATAAATTCTTATTAAACATTTTTATCAACATTTGCAACACCAATTATAAGCTTTTCTTTAGGGGAAGGGTTGAGATATGGGGAGAGGACGGACGACGGCGGTCGAAGGATACTGTGCGGAGTGAAGGAACAGAAATGCTGAGATGGGTGGAGAAGAACGGATGGGTGATACTGAATGGGAATAAAGAGGAAGGGGAGTATACTTACATCCGAGCGAGGGGGACATCTGTGATTGATTATGTATTGGTGGATCAGGAAATGTGGGAGAGGGTGGAAAGGTTTAAAGTGGGAGAAGCGGTAGGGTCGGATCACCAACCGTTGGAGGTGGAGGTAAAGGGGGTGGGCGGCAAAAGGCGAGCGGAACTGGGTAGCAAGTTCATCAGGACAGATTGGTCGGAAGAAGGGGTAGCATTCTACAGGGGAAACCTAGACACTTGGCAACAGAGGATACAAGAGATCAACGGGTTGGAAGAGCTTACCCAGGTAGTGCGGGAGGCAACACTGAAAAGGGAGTGTGTACGTAGGGGGGACAAAGTGGGGAGGAAAGACTGGTATGATGGCGAGTGCAAGAAGGCGAAGAGGGAGGCGAGAAGGAGGTTGAGGCTGTGGAGACGGGGGAAGATAGGGGTGGATAGATATAGGGAAGCCAGGAGAGAATACAGAGAGTTATGCAGTAGAAAGAAAACAGAATTGAGGGAAAAGGAGGCGGCAGAGATTAGGGGGATAACAAGGGAAGCGGAGGTCTGGAGGTATCTGAAAAAAGGAAAGAAGGGTAGGGAGACGATAACCAGCGAAATACACATGACAGAATGGAAGAGTTACTTTATGGGATTATTGGGAGGGGTTGAAACGAGGCTAACGGGGTTGGGAGGATATGAGGGAGAGGAGATAGCAGAAGAGGAGATGGAGGCGGTGCTTAGGAGATTGAAGAAGGGAAAGGCGCCAGGTGAAGATGGGATACATAACGAAGCATGGTTGGAAGCATCAAGGGTGGTGCGAGTGAAGTTGTTGGAGGGGATGAATATCGTATGGAGAGGGGGTGGGATTCCGGAGGGATGGAAAGTGGGGGTAATTTGCCCAGTATATAAAAAGGGTAATAAGGGAAGTGTAGAGAGCTACAGGGGAATTAACCTACTAGACTCGGCATACAAGGTATACACGAAGATACTGCTGGGAAGATTGGAGGAGGAGATGGAGTTGGGGGGAATTTTGCCGGATGGGCAGGCAGGCTTTCTGAAGGGGAGCAATCGACAACGTGTATGTGTTGAAGCATTTGGCAGATAGAGAGCTGGATAAGAAGGGAGGGAAATTGTACGCCCGCCCTGTTTATAGATTTGAAGGCGGCTTTTGATAAGGTGGATAGGGGGAAGTTGTAGGAGGAGATGGGGAGGAGGGGGATAACGGAACACCTAATTGCGAGAGTGAAGGAAATATACATGGAGACGATGGCTAGGATAAAAGTGGGAGATAAGCTGAGCGACGTGTTCTGGACGACGAAGGGACTGAGGCAGGGATGTCCGCTGAGCCCAAGTCTGTTTGCACTGTATACGGCGGACCTGGAGGAAAGATTGGGGAAGTGGCAGATGGGAGGATTGGTGGTGGGAGGTAGAAAGGTGCATATGTTAGCATACGCGGATGACATCGTGGTCATGGCGAGAGAAGCGGTGGAGATGAAGGAGATGATAAAGACATTGGAAAGATACTTTAGGGGGAAGGGGCTGGAAGTAAATGTGGGGAAGACAAGGATGATGAAGTTTTGTAAGGGTGGGAGAAAAAGAACAGAAAACTGGAGATGGGAGGGAAAGGAGATCGAGGAGGGTAGGGAGTATACTTACTTGGGGTATGTGTTTAGGGAGGATAACAGGGAGGGGTCGCATGTGATAGCTATGGCAAAAAAGGCGAATAAGGTGATGGGACAAGTATGGGGTTGGGGGAAGAGAGTCTTTGGAAGGAATGTGGCAGCGAGGAAGATTATGTTTGAAGGTCTGGTCAGCAGTGTGATGATGTATGGGGCAGAGGTATGGGGATGGAGGGAGCAGGGACCGCTGGAGGACGTGCAGGCTAGATATTGGAGATGGGTGCTTGGGGTGGCGAGAGAAACACCGGGGTATATAGTGAGGGAAGAGGTAAAGGTGGATAAGGTCAGGGTGGAGGCGGGCAGGAGGGCAGTGAAATATGAAGAAAGAATAGAAGGGAGGCCAAGCTGCGGGATCCTGGGGGAGTGTTGGAAGGAAATTAGAGAGGGAAAGGACACAGAGACAACTATTATAGACGAGCGGGCTACTCGGTAACGGAGATAAATAGTAGACGAAGGGTGGGTAGGGAGTTGAGAGACAGGGACCGAGATGTGCAGAGACAGGAAAGAAGGACACAAATAAAAGAGGGAAGGTATAACGAAAGATACAGGGACATAATTACGGAGGGGCTGCCTAGATACTTGTTATTGGAAAGAGATGAGGAAGGGAAAAAGTTGGTGGCTAGGTTCCGTTGTGGAAACGAGGAGAGAGCCAACAAATACTGGATGGCCGCTGAGGAGAGGTGGTGTAGGCTGTGCAGGGAGGAATGGGAAACGTTAGAACACATGCTGAATGGGTGCAGTGAGTTGAGGGAGGAGGAGATGGACCGAAGGCAGATCTTAGGAGAGGGGGGAGAGGGGAAACGATGAATGAGAATGGTGATGGGGGTGAGGAGACAAAGGGATGGGTGAGGGGATGATTGGGCCGAGGGCGTGGAAATGGAGGAAGAGGGTAGAGAGTGAAAGTAATATTTGAATAATGTAAAGAATTGTAAACAATTACTGTATACAATAAACTCTTAATAAATAAAAATATAAGCTTTTCAAAGAAAGTAACAGATTTTCAAAATATCTTTTAGTTTTTGGGATATTATATTATTATTAAAAAGTTGTAATAAATAAAACCAATTTAATTACAGTTGTTTTGTTCTATATTTCACAATTTTAAATATATCTATGATCACATATACATATATACTTTTATATTTCATATTTTCCATTTTTTGTTTTAATTTTCATTAAATACAATAAAGAACCTCCGTTTCTTACGTACTCAATGGTTCCTTTTGTTTTCTAAATCAAACAACGAACAAAAATGCAACAAGAATCTCATCATTTTCTTTTCTAATTCTATTACATATTTTTGATTCCTCTTCCCAAAGAAGA